TTGACTTTTCGTAAAAGTTTGACTTTTTTGTTGATTTTGTTCTAAACTTAGACTTTGTCACAAATCAAAATTCTATGTCTTTGAGTCTATATGAACATTCATCACGTCACAAAATATTCAAAAGCATCATTTACATTCTAACATACATAGATATTACAATATGCACATTTTTGTGCAACACGAAGGAATAAGTCATTCGTGTCATAGTCAAGAAAACCTATTGATACTTACAAAAGTTCTGCTAACGTTGCGACCTTCGAGTCACCTGAAACTTTTCGACTTCGATCATCTACCAATCCTATTATATACATTTCCGATCGTTAGATTCAAAATCTAATATCAATAATTGCAATAGAATTTAACTCGAAAAGGTCTACAATTCTTATATTTGATATCTAGATCAAAATATTTCTTATCTCAACATCATGCTCCAAACTCGTGCATATTCGACCAACAATCACTGTCTTAGACTTGTTTGGGAAATTAGCCCGAAACTAGCATCTATAAGTCATTTTTGAGAAAAATTCTATTTCATAAAAGTTGTTCAGAACTAAATTTCCTACAACTTGGTGCTGGTCAGTTTTTGAAACTAAGCATTTATCTTAGTTTCCTAGCCCAAAATAGCACCGGATTCTAATTTTCAGGTCAATAAACTAGTTTTCAGTTTTGGTCCGAAACTGAGAATTTTCATCGTTTTAGGTTTCTATACATCTCTGACATTTGAATCAACTTACTTTATACATCTTAATCATCCTATTCTTTATGAAACCAGTTCTAGTTCAAATTCTCAAATTAAATTTTGGCAGAGTTTCGCCTAATTTTCTGTGTTTCCTGAGCTAACCATAACTCATTTTATCCGTTGTTTCAACCTCTAAGCACAAACCATAATCTTTCTCATTCAATTTTTATCAGCATAAACATCATAACTCTAGGGTTTCATCCAAATTCTCACAAGAATTCTCCATAACCAAAAATTTAACCTCTAAACATTCAGTTTTTTCGGTACCATAACCAAAAGTCAATAATCATTCTTAGAAAACAATTTCCATGTTCTTTACTATTCATAGACGTGCAGCCATGGCAGAAAAGATGGTGAGAAATTAAAATTTTACCTTAGAAAAATGAAGAGACAACCACAGAGACACTAATCCACGGTGGTTTTTGTCAGTTTTCACTTAGAACTTGTTTTCTCTCACTTTGGGTGAATTTTTTTTCTTCTTCTCTTTTTGGCTGATGCTCTCTGATTTTTGGTATGAAAATGAGCATTTTTCTTGCATTTTTCTCTTATAAAAACCGGACCTAAAAAGAAGGATGGACTAAAATGCAATTTTGGCCTTTCCTAGGGTTCTTTTTTGCAAAATTCACTAAAAATATCTTTTTCTTTTCTTCTTCTTTAAGTTGGCCGGCCACCTCCTCCTTTCCACATGTTTCCATCTCAGCCCTTCATCTATTAATCACTTTTAGTCCCAACCATTCATTATTTTAGTGATTATTTTGTTTCGGTTCAATTTAATTCCTATCGTGTGCGCGTTTTACCCATATTTTCCGGACAGTTGGTCAACTTGGTCAACTTTACTCAACCTTGACTAACTTTTCAACAATGACCAATTGGTTGACTCTTAGTGAACAAATTTTGACTCGATCAACCCAAACCAGTCGAAAACCCTTATTTTCTCAGTTCAGCCTTCTGAACCCCTTTTTCGTCCGATTTTCGTCCTGATTGTTTTTGAAACCCAAGAATTGATGTTTTTCAATTCCTTTTCATTCCTTAAACTTAACATTCATGTGTTTGTCCTCTCATGGGATTAACACAACATTCTAAACGTCTTTCTTGATTACAATTTGAAATTTGAAAACTACGTCATAGTTCAGAAATTTTTAACTTTTAGCTTATACTTTGCTATTCAATAATAATATCAACAAATACTTATCATAAAAGTATTCATATTTATATTACAGATAATTCCAGGAAATTTCATCTTATATAATAATTTCTCCGATAAATTTCCCAGTCATGACAATATCTGCTTTCGTTAGAGGTCGAAGATATGGGACTTGCTAGTGGCAACCCAATGTCGATCAAAAAATGATTCATAGAGAACCTAAAAGACAAGAGAGAATCGAGGAGGAAGGTCTAGCGCTGCCTCAATCTGGGCATCTGTAATGCTGGGACAAGAAAGTTTGAATTTTTAACCTTTGCTGCCAGGAGGAATAAGCGATCTTTAGGAAGAGGACCCTCTGGAATATGGACAATGGGAACTGAAGAGTCATCTACCATAGGCGTCTTATCTCTCCTTTGCCTCTTAGCCCTTGACGCCCTAGCAGCGGATTCATTTACTGGCTTAGGAGCCTTCCTTTGTTAAGTAGTGGAGGAAGATCCCCTTTGCCTTTTCCTTCCTTGGTTTTCCACCAAGATTAGGGAGCTGAAGGTTCAAAGTGGCCATTTCGGCAAAAACAAGTAGAGGGCTAAATTAAAAATCAAGGCAAGTTAACAAGATAGGCGATCGAAAGAAGACGAACCTTTTGGGCTAAGGTTGAAGAATTATTGGATTGCTTGAAGGTCTTTGGGATCTAGAAGAGACAACAAAAGGCTCGATTCCTTCAGATTTTCCTTGGTTAAAAGGGTATCAATATGACGACCAGTCTTAGGGAGTTGGAAAGCTGACAAAACCCTCTCCTTCCGATTCCCAAATAATTTTGGGTTGCCTTAACACTTTGTGTAAATATCAAAGAAAGAATAGAACGTTAGGAAAAAGAACATGAACGCAAGTGTGAAGAGCATGCAACAACTAGTACCGGTAGAGCACTCACTTAATCGCCCAAAGGAAGTTTGGACCCATCGGTGTCGGGGTCTGCAATCAGCAGGGTGGGGTCGTACCTACCATTGATTATGAAGAACATGGGCTTCCATTAATGGGACGACGAGGGAACCCCTTCTATTAATTTACCAAGAATGGGTTTGGATTGCCTGTTACTTCCTTAGAAATACCACCCTTCACTTTTTACAACGCGGCAGAGCTTATATACATACAAAAACTCATCTAGCAATAACTCCAAGTCAAACCGTTGATGCCATAAGACCCACATCCCGGCAAAGCAGTACCAGAAATTGGGAGCTAGTTGGGTAAGAGAAATGCCATGAAGCTAGTTGTGTCTCCTATATAGTTGGCTACGTTGTCCATATTGACAATTTTAAATGTTTTTAATTCAAATTATATGATACTACTTGAAGATCTCACGCATTAAATTTAATACGAGAACACATTAATAAGAATGTTTGTATGTTTGCAAGTATATTTCTTTTTACACGTATTCATTTTCGATTAAACCGATATCATTACTTAATCAGTAAATTTTACAAAATTTAAAGTCCTTTTTTCAAACTATAATTATTGTAGGGTAAAACGCCGAATCCTAAATTAAACATTGCATGGGGCCCACATGTCATGAATAAGAGTATTAAACGTTCAATGATAGCTCAGCCCTAGTTGCGACGTTAGCGGGCAACTCTCTCAGGAGCAAACCACTAGAAAGAGGTGTCAGACATACGAAAGAGGTCGACTGTTCTGGAAAGATAGAAGACGACATGAGATGGACCGTACCTGCAATTGTAGGTGAAGATGGTTCTGGGAGCGTTTACGATGTCGAGGCTACGAAAGACGTGAGATTCACGAGATTAGCTCGAGGATTTGTTATTTGTAATTCAAATATATGAAATTTGAATAAGGGAATCGTCCTAATTGATTGTAATCTCTATCTTTTGGGAAACTATACCAAAAGATAAGGAAAATATTCCCGAATTAAATAGGGAAACAATGGGCGCATTTGAAACTCGTTCCAAAATGATTTCGTTTTTTGTATGAAAATGAAAATGAAAATGTTTTCAATCTCAGATAGAAATCCTTTTTAAAAATGCCTTTGGTAGTTTTATTAGGAGATTGTTTGCAGTATAAAAAACCCATTAATGTCTATATTTCTCTCTCTTCAAATTATTTTTAAAAATGCATTTGGTAGTTTTATTAAGAAATTGTTTGCAGCATAAAAAACCCATTAATGTCTCTATTTCTCTCTCTGCTCGAGAGAGAATAAAACGAAAATAAAAAATGAAAAACGGCTAAAAGTCATTTTCATTTCTCTCTCATTTTACACTAAACCAAAAAATCATTTTCATTTCTTTTTTTTTGTATCTATTGCGCCAAACGCCGTTTTGGAAACGTTTTTTATTTTTTCTTTCTCAAAAAATGTGAAAAATAAAAACGGAATCAATTCCAAACACGGCCAATAAATTTCCTCTCTTCCCCATAGTGGACGTAGCCCTCAAATTGTGGATGCACCACTATAATTCTCGTATGTTCTTACTGTTTTATTGCTTTTAATTGTGTTTTAGATTATTAAATTCGCACAAACCGTTTACACGTTGTTTGTTTTAAAGGTTCGTTAATCGTTCTGAATTATGGTTCTTAATTCTCTACAATATTTTTATCTCACAAAAAATTTAAATTTTCAAAATTAGAAATATGAATCATAATTTTATATTCATAAACTAAACATTCCATTAGAAGTTATTATTTTGTTAACAAATTTTCAACGTTAACAATAATTGTATATTAAATCTACCAAAATCAACGCCTGTAATTTTCTTCAAGGAACTATTCCATACAAAAGCCAATAAAAGCAAAATTAATCTCCAACTCTGCCACATAAGAATCTTCTCTTTTTTCAAAACCAAAAGAGTATTTTTCTGATCCATAAAGTACAACCACTCATTGTACGCAAAAAAGCGAGCTCACGGTAGACCGAATCCACAGGATCTCTCTCTCGCTCTCTCTGTCTCCCTCTCTCTCTCTCTCTCGCTCTCTCTGTCTCCCTCTCTCTCTCTCTCTCCCTCTCTCTGTCTCCCTCTCTCTCTCTCTCTCGCTCTCTCTGTCTCCCTCTCTCTCTCTTTCTCCCCCTTCTTCACGAGCTTCGTTTTCTGATATAAAATTTGTCTCCGACAGCTTTCGAATTTTCAAACTCTCTCTTTCTCTCTCTTACTCTTTCTCTCTCTAAAAGACCTCGAATTCTTCTCTAACCATATCCGACTGGAAGAATCTCCCCAAAAAATTCTTTCTTTTGGTGTTTTGATTTGAATTTCGCTCATTTTCTCGAGAAAACACTTTCTCGGTCTGGAAAAGTTCGGGACTTTCGGGAGTTTCGTGAAGCTCAGAGGCTGTTTCTTTCGGTTTCGGTTTTTTTCTCTGTTCGACATGTCCGAGGAGGTTTTGACTTTTGAAGCTCGCAACGATCCGCGAAGATGATCTCCGGTATTGGTTGCGTGTGACTGTTTGGTCTCCAATGGTGATTGCCTTTTCTTGAGCTCCGTTGGCTTCTAGGGTTTCTGTGTGGTGAGTTTCTTCTTATATGGAGGTTTAATTAGGGTTTTTGGGTAAGCGATTATCCGGTTATTTCTTTGTTCATTTCCGCTTTTGAAGCTTTAATCTTTGTAATTTTCATTTTAGGTCATCGGATATTTGGCTTTGTTTTAATTTTTTAAAAAACTTTTTTTGAATTTTTTTCTTATAACAAGCTAGGTTTGGACTTGAATAGCTTGTCAGAACTGGGAATTTTCATCATTGGAAGAGTGATTGGATCAGGGAAGCTGAGGTATAGTTATTATATAGTTCAAACGTTGTAAAGTTTGGAACTTTTTTTTTTCAATGAATGTTATACTTGGAGCTTATTCTGTTGCCTAGTGAAAAATTGAAAATTGCATTTAGTTCCATTATAGGTTCTTGGATTTCGGTTATTCGACCGGAAATAACGAAATTCTTGAGCAAAGGTCTTGAAGAGGAATGTTCGGTTTTTATGTGATCAGAATCATCAAAAATGTTTCCCATGTAATGAATTATTGGTTCCATTGGTTGGTGGTTCTTTTATCTGAGAAAAGTTAGGTTTGGTAGTTATTCATGTCGTTTTCATATTTGTTACATGTAAAGCAATGACATGATTTTCTGCAGGAATGTAAGGAATTTTGATGTCCTATTGGGTCCTCTGCAAATAAGAGAATTTGGAAATTGGGGTGTTAATTAAGTTCCCATTAGTGTTAAGTCTTTTTATTTAAGTAGTAATCCGTGATTAAAATCCCATAATTTGGATTACAGAGAAGTGTGGATTTTCATGAGGTTTACTATTTGGATTTAGAAGTTGCTTAAGGCAAAGAGTGGAAATAGAATTTTGTTTTCTGCCGGCTTGATTACGTGGGAGCTGGGACCACATACTTGGTTAACTGAATTCAAGCATCTTTGAACGTATGCTAATCATGTCGTTCTCATATTTGTCTCGTCCTTGCTGTATGTGTTTCCAAAAATAGTTCATTTGATGGTTCAACAGGTTGAATTGTATATTTAACAAATAAACCAGTATGGTTGCAAAAGGGCGTTCAAGTACGTCAGAGTCTCCTAATCCCAAGGCAGAGGTGGGAGAGATAGACACCAGGGCACCTTTTCAATCTGTTAAAGATGCGGTCACGCTATTCGGTGAAGGAGCATTCTCCGGAGAGAAACCTGCTATTAGGAAGCCAAAACCTTATTCTGCAGAGGTAGTTTCAGTGACATGATTAATTTATTAATGCAGTCGGCTAGTTATTTCTTTATTCAGTTTGAATCTTTTCAATTGATAAGCATTCTTCATTTTGAGCCAACAGGTGCTGCAGAAATATTTTTCCTCCAAAGTACTTTAATTATTACCTACTTTTGGGATGCTAGTGTGTGAAGCCAAATTCATTCATTTATTTATTTTGGATTAAATGCAGAGGGTGTTGGCAAAAGAGACGCAGCTTCACCTGGCCCAGAAAGAATTGAACAAGCTGAAAGAACAACTAAAGAGTGCCGAAACAACAAAATCAGAAGCACTTTCAGAGCTTGAAAGGGCCAAAGCAGCAATCAACGATCTCAATAACAAGCTGAAATCTCTAAATGAATCCAAGGGATCGGCAGTCAAGGCAATAGAAGCTGCAAAAAGTCAGGCAAAGCAATTTGAAGAAGCAAATAGTTCTAGCCTTCCCGGTGCTGATGGTGCCTGGAAACATGACTTAGAAACGGCAAGAGCACAGTATACTACTGTAATTAGTGAACTTGATGCGGCAAAGCAAGAATTACGGAAACTTCGACAGGATTGTGATTTGTCGTTGGAAGCAAAAGATGCTGCCTTCAAGCAAGAAGCAGAAGCCAAAGATGCAGCCAAAGCAAATGTGGAGAGAGTTGGTGAACTCTCTAAAGAAATTTCAGCTGTGCAGGAATCAATCGGGCAAGTTAAGCTTGCATCTCTGCATGCCCAACAGGAGCAAGCCAAGATATTTGCTGAAAAAGATGTCCTGAGGCAGTCACACAAATCCACACTGGAGGAGTCGGCTAAAAAATTAGATGTCTTGAAAAAAGAGTTTGATCCAGAACTTTCCAGAAATCTTGAAGCACAGCTTGCTGAAACATTGAATGAAATTGGAGCTATGCAAAAGCAAATGGAGAACGCAAAGGCTTCCGATCTAGAGTCTGTGAGAACTGTCACTTCCGAGCTCGATGATGCAAAAGGCTCATTACAGAAAGTTGCAGAAGAGGAAAGCTCACTAAGAAGCTTGGTTGAGGCTCTTAAGGTGGAACTGGAGAATGTAAAGAAAGAGCATTCTGAACTGAAGGAAAAAGAAGCAGAAACAGAATCCATTGCCGGTAATCTGCATGTTAAACTTCGGAAAAGTAAATCTGAGCTTGAAGCCTGCCTTGTAGAAGAGTCCAAAACAAGAGGTGCTTGTGATGAAATGATATCGACATTGAACCAGTTATCGCTAGAAACTGAAAATGCGCGTCGAGAAGCGGAAGAAATGAAATCTAAAGCAGAGGAATTGAAGAAGGAAGCGGAAGCCACAAAAATTGCAGTGCAAGAAGCAGAGCAGCAGCTAAAAATTGCTTTGGAAGAAGCTGAGGAAGCTAAAGCGGCGGAGGAAAGAGCAGTTGATCAGATTAAGGCCTTATCTGAGCAAACTAATGCCGCCCGCACCTCAATTTCCGAGTCTGGTGCCAATATCACAATATCAAGGGATGAGTTTGAGTCTTTGAGCCGCAAAGTTGAGGAATCCGACAAATTGGCTGACATGAAAGTGGCTGCTGCCATGGCTCAGGTGGAAGCCGTGAGAGCTAGCGAAAACGAGGCCCTGAAGAGGTTAGAGTTAGCCCAGAAAGAGATTGAAGACATGAAGGCTGCTACGGAGGAGGCTTTGAAAAGAGCGGCAATGGCTGAAGCCGCCAAGAAAGCGGTGGAGGGGGAGCTAAGAAGGTGGCGGGAACGCGAGCAAAAGAAGGCGGCCGAAGCTGCATCTCGTATATTAGCAGAGGCAGAGGTCTCAGTAGAGTCATCCCCACGCCACTACAAAGTTCAAAAGCCGAACCCTCAGACCAAAGTTATCGACACAAAGAAGCTGGAGAAGGAGAAACCCTCCATTTCGAAGAAGGCGCTCTTGCCTAATCTTAGTGGCATCTTCAACAGAAAAAAGAACCAAATCGAGGGCGGGTCGCCTTCCTATCTCCCTGGTGAGAAACCCCTGTGATGTTTTGTTCTTACAAATACCTTCCTTTATATGAGATTGCGAATGAATGGTCGAGACAGGAAAAAAAAAGATAAACTTTTGTTTGTGTCTGCAGTTTAAACGTTTGCTGTCAAAAAAAAAAAAAAATGTATTATCTTGTCTGTTTGCGCTGGGAAAAGTGGATGGTCAAAAGGGTGAGCTTTGAAGCAATTGCGTTAATGGGGTAGTGTGATTTTTTGTATATGAGACAGTTTGTAGATTATCGACTGAAAATTCCCTGTAGACGTGAGAAATTCTTCCCCTATATTGGTCATTCAGTTGTCTTTGCGCCAGTTACTTTTGTTTGTGAAAAACGTGTCAAAATGACGACCACTTTGAGTAGTTACCAAGTCACCATGTGGGGACTCAGTAGTGGCCCGTTTGGTCTCATCCCAACATAAACTTTGAACAAAAATTTAAGGGTTTATTTTTTGACAACTCAAACTTTTTTATCATAGTATTTTTTATTATAAAAATTTAAATTTAATGTTTTGGCGCAAAAAAATTTAAGTTTTGATTTAAATTGTGAAAAAAAAACACAACTCCGTAGAGAAAACGTTATAGAAACAAATTTAAAATTTCATTCAAGCATATAAAGTTTCCATGCTTGAGAGTTGAGATCGAAGATAACTGATGCAGCGGAATGGACAGGATGATGTTTTACCGGCCTAACCCGGAGGGAGAATTTCTAAATCCACGTAAGGAAACTTCACAAAGGGAAAATTCTTAAATTGAAGAGGAAACTCAACTTTAATTCAATTATCAAATTTTCAAGTTTTCCTAATCCGTAAACTATTTATAGCTCACACATAGAAAATGATAACAAATTAATAATTACAATAGACGATGACTAATAACAAATCATAGCTAATTTAATAAATGATAATACAACTAAAATAAACTACTATTATATCTAAAACTCTCTACATTAATAACCAAACTTGCTCTTTTAGGTAGTTGTGCAGAAATGATTAAAGATGAAGATCTTGTTGGCAAAATTATATGGTGGGGGAAAAAATAATATTTTACTGGTATTACAAGGCCTTGAATCGTCAGAATTTTTGTAAAATGTTGGGCTTACTCTTTTGGAGTTTAATTGAGTATAATTTTTGAGTTGAATTTGAGTTATAACTTGAGTTAAACTTGTAACTTGAGTTTGTGCTTGGTTGTATACATTTGAGTTATGGTTTGAGATAAGAATTTTTTTGAGTTTGTGTTTGAGTGAGTCAAAACTTGAATTTATATTTAGATAGTATTTTAATAAAAACTTAATGCTGATGAAAAATTTTAATAGGGTATATGGGTCGGGTTTTATTCGTCTTTTCATTGTTAATACATAGAAAAAAAAATCATCTCAATCAAAATTAAAACGAAAAAGTTATAATATTTTTAAGAATAGAAAAAATACTGTTCATTAATTTGAGTTCGAGTTTCTGAACTCGAGTTGAAGGGAAAACTTGAACTCGAGTTTTAGTCATAAACTCGAGTTTAAACTTAAAAGAACATGAACTCGAATAAAATTATAACTCGAGTTACATTTTTTTTAGTTTTTCGCTCAAAAGAACAATCCTAAAACTTTTGAGTTTTTCTTGATACAACTCTATTATGTTGTGTCCTCTATTATGTTGTGTCCGTTGCAAGATAAAATATATTATTATTCAATATATTTAATATTATTATTTATTCAATATATTATTAATTTAAATATTATTACATGTTTTTAAAAATTAAACCACCAAATGCAGTTTCAGTTTTTTTTTAAAACTGAAATCAATCTCTGAATAAAACTACCAAACGTATTTTAAAAATAATTCCAAAATGAAAATGAAAACGTTTTCATTTCTATTTTCATACCGAAAATAAAATTATTTTAGAACCAATTTCAAACGCACCATGTAAGTTTTGTTCACCAACTTGTGTTGGATTTTTCATCATCTCTTTTTCTGAGTAGTCAACTATCGAAATGTCATTTCATGAAAATAACAATCGAATTTCGAATGCGTATGAGAAACTGAACTTATTATGTGATCCTACTCATCTCTTACATTACTACTTTAATCCAAAAGTTGACCAATAATCAAACTTAATGAGATACTCGTTCTTCAGGAATTATAGTAAAAAAAAAAAATTATGAAACTAAAATAAATAAATAACAGATTTTAAAATATTTATAGTAAATATTAGCAAAAAACTTTTTACTACGTATTTACTGTTTTTACTCCATTCTTCCTTAATTCTTTTGTTAATTTATAAATTAGAAAACTTATATAGTCGGGATGCCCTGTATATCTGCTACATAAACGCGTTTAAGTTCAATTTATTGAACATGTGTAAGAATTCAGATTAATATATATATATATATATATGTATATGTATGAGTGTAGTTTTAATGTTTACTTTATTAGTTGTCGATCAATAAGCATCACTAATTTAATTATTAAATGTTGATTCGACGATCGTAATAAATTAAATAATTGATCACTAATTTAATTATTAAATGTTGATTTGACGATTATAATAATTAAATAATTAATTAAAAAATTATGATAATTAATAAAATTAAATTTTTATCACGTCGTTATTAAATTTTTATATTTAATAGTAACTATTAAAAAAAATGTGACCATTAAAAACTCGTATATATACTGAATATCCATAAGACAAATTTTGATACAAATTTTTACTTTTAAAAACAAATAGCTATCTGCATTTTTTTTAAAGTTTTTAGAGTAAAAATCTCCTCAAAATTATAAATAAATAAAAAAGTAGATTTAAGACTCACGCACAGACCAGTTCAACAATTTTCTTTAAAATTATTATTACTTTTAACAAATTTAATTCCCATATTTATAAATTTATAAACATAAAAGAATAAAAAATAAAGACAAACAAAGAACAGCTAAGAACTCTCTCTCACTCACTCACACACACTCTCTATCCTCCCCAGTTCTTCATTTCCCATACCACCGGAACTTCCTCTCGCTCTCTCCCTCTCTCTCTCTCTCTCTCTCTCTCTCTCTCTCTTAATCCATGGCTGCCAGCAGCAGAGACGACCCTTTGGCCTTCACAAATCCATCAATATCATCGTCTTCCTCCCCCATCACCGTCTCCTCTGCCGACCCTCTCGACAGCTACCTCAACGACCGCGACAGCGCCGCCGCCTCCGGAAGCTTCCAGAACGACGGCGGCGGGATCCTCGCCGACACCAGCGGCGGCAGCAGCAGCGACCTCGAGTTCGGCTTCTCGAGGCCCGATTTTAGGGCGGATCAGCACCAGCTGGCCGGCACGGTCGAGCTCTACGACCGCCATGTCTTCCTCTGCTACAAGAACCCCCGCGTCTGGCCTCCCCGCATCGAGGCCGCGGAGTTCGACCGCCTCCCCCGCCTCCTCTCCGCCGCCGTCTCCGCCAGGAAGCCCGATATCAAGAAACAGGTATGGGTGTTTTTCTTATTATTATTATTATTATTTTGATGTTATCGAAGAAAGATGTATGTTTTCTGTTTAATTTGGCTAAAGATTTGGTCTGTAGTTTGGATTTGATGATTTTTTTTTTTTGGGAGTAGGGGATAAAGTTTTGATCTTGAATTTGAATTTGCTGCAATGAAGGTTTTTTTTTTTTTTTTTTTTTTTTTTTTGGTGGTTTTGGAGATTGGATTTGATGTGGGTTGATTTGAAATTGGGGAATATGAAGAAAGATGGTTTTTTTTTTTTGGTGGGTATAGGATAAAGATTCTGTCTTGAATTTGGATTTGCTGAAATGAAGTTTTTTTTCTTTAGGGAAATGAAATTGGGTTTTGAGTAGTGTGTAAATTGACCATCTTGAATTTGGATTGCTGATTTTTTTTTTTTTTTTTTTCAAATGATTAAGGAGTTTAAAATATGACGTGCTTGGGTTTTGATTGATGTTGCAAATTGGCTTTCTTTTCCATGTTGAAATGAAGCTTTCTGTGAATAGAGTTCTTGTTGGTTAAGGATATTTTGGATCTTTAAATGGATATTATTTTTCGGAAAGGAGTTTTAGGGCTTAAATGATGTGTGAGCTGATTTTAATTTTAATTTGTGATTTTACTTAAGGAAAAAAAAAAAATTTCCCTTGCGGGGTTTGGATTGTTTTTGGAGGGAAGGTTATGAAGTCAAAGAAATGGACTTTTTGTTCCACAGAGAAATTAAGATAAATAAGCTTCTGATGTTGTTCTAATTAATATGGCAAGTTGGGAGCTGATTACTATTCATTGTCCTACTTTTTTCTTTGATAAATAACACTTTTTCTTTATTTTTTTGGCTGAATTTTTTTCCTTTTACTTTTTAGTATGAAATCTAAACATCAAGGCGACTTACTTGCCTGTTATATTATACTCGCCTTTAAAATATTGGGTAACAAGTATATTCTGTGTTAATATTTGGAAATACCCGGTCTCTTCTAGATTATTTTTTTCCCCTTTTCTTTTCTTTTCCTGAATAAGTCAGTGGTTTCTATTGTTTTTGTGATAATTTAAGTGCCATTATTGTTTTTGTGATAAATCCTTTATAGTTCTTCGGTGATTAAGGAACTCATTAATTTCTTTGATCAGAATAGGTGGAAAGCAAGTTATTAGGAGAGTTATCTTCCGATTTACAGATTTTTGGTTTGAGAAAATTAGGGAATCTTCCATAACTTCTTTAGCTTTGTGCCATTCTCTTAGACTTTTGTCATTCTTAAGTTGATATATACCGGGAGAAACTAGAAGGTGTGGGCATAAATCTTGTAGTATTAAACGGGATATATCTTTATGCACTCTATTGGGGGAACATTCCTCCAAATGAGGCTGTTCATGGAGTCCCGTCTTCTCTGTATTCGTTGCTTGCATATATATGTGCTATAAAATGTCAATATATATATATATTTTTTTTGGTCTCTCCTTTTCTTGGGCTGTATTTGTTTTGTTAGGTTAACCTTTTTCTCATTCTCCTTTTATCTGTTTCTTCTTCTAGACCCGGTTAACGATATGTGAAGGACATGACGGAACTGAAACATCAAATGGGGATGTGTTGATATTTCCAGACATGGTCAGATACAGGTTATTTGCAAAACCCATTATTTTCCCCTGAAGTCCGGTTTAATTTCTTGCTTCAGTCCCTAAACGAAGCCGAACCATTTGTGATGCTGACCATAAACTTTGGGGGCGAATAAAATTGCAGGAGATTGACACATTTTGATGTCGATACATTTGTTGAAGAAGTGCTTGTGAAGGATAGTGAATGGCTGCCTATGACTCCAGAACCACTAAAAGGTTTGTATATTTTTGTATGTTGTCATGGATCCCGAGATCGTCGATGCGGAGTTTGTGGACCGGCGTTGGTCAATAGATTCAGAGACGAGATAGAATTACATGGTCTTCTTGGTAAAGTGTCTGTTAGCCCATGTTCACATATTGGGGGTCATAAGTACGCTGGAAATGTGATTATATTTGGTCCAAATATCAATGGAGAAGTAACTGGTCACTGGTAAGAGAAAATTTTACTATGTTGACTTACTTCTTGGTTTACTTTTTTATCCTCTTTAACAACAATTGAATAACTGGATCTTTTTCCTTTTGCATCATCTATGATTTTATAGGTATGGATATGTTACTCCAGATGATGTAACTGCATTGCTCGAGCTACATATTGGGAAAGGAGAAATCGTTGACAGACTCTGGAGGTAGTTTTGAAGTCCCTAAATCCTAACGATTCTTCGTCTGGCTGTCAAAGTAGATTTTTCAGTCCTTAAATTTATCCATCAATACTTAGAAAGGGAGTTCATGTAGAATGCAAATTACTTTTGGGATAAAAGCCTAGTTTAGTTTAAGCTCAGTAATACTTATTTGGCTATCTATTAACAAGGACTCATTATTTGTTGGAGAAAGGATCATCTAAACAGAGTTACGGACTATACGTAATGTGATTCAAGTAGAAAAAATAACCCCAAAAAAGGAAGTGTTGGGATGCCTGCTGTTCAATTTCTGTAGAGCTGAAGAAAAGATTATCAAAATGAATGCTCTTACAGTTGCTGAAATTTCTTTCATAACATATGCTGGTTTCAACCATGTTTTCTAACGTAATAGTTGATGGAATATATGGATGTTGACTTCAGGGGTCAGATGGGTTTATCAGAGGAAGAACAAAGGGAATCCCAAAACCGAAGGCTGCAGATGAATGGTGACACGAATATAGGAAAAGACACAAACAAGCATACTGAAACAAGTACGAATAGTCTTTCAAACACCAGTGCTTCGAGATGTCAAGTCGAGGAGGTTATGGGCTGTTGCCAGCAGGAAAATGGAAACTCTTGCTGTCAAAACGCTGAGTTACCTGAGAAGACGCATAGCTCGGAGGCAACTGCGGTAGCAAAGAAAGTGAGCACAGAAAAGAAAAGGAGCGGAAGGAAACTGCTCTCTCGGATAAACAGTAGCAGCAAAGGGTCATCAACGCGTAGGGTTTGCTCAATGCCGACATGGTTGGATAGCTGGGAGCGTGAAGATACATATGCAGCTTTAGCTGTTGCCTGCGCTGCTCTATCGGTCGCCGTTGCTTATAGCTGCTACAAACAGTTGAGATAGCCTGCAATGGTGAAGGATGACTCTGTGCTTGATCTAAAAGGCTGGAGAAAGACTTGCTGAAACAAATGTTGTAGAATGTGGGCTGGGGTTTTTGGATGTATTTCGAATGTTTTTTTTTCTTCTTTTTTTAACTAAAGTTTGTGCTTGTGCATATGTGAATGTTTTTCCAATATGTATTTACTCCCATACGATTCTTTCCTTCACGAGCTTCTGGTTTTTGTAATATTATTACTATATGAAATGCAATAGTTATTTCTTAGCATGGACTTTCGAAAGAATTGCCTTACACAAGTTTTGTATATTTATTAACTTTGGTGTATCTGGGATTTCTTTATTTTTTTTTTTTTAACAACGGTCAGAAATCCTACTGTAGAAATTAGAAAACTACTAAGTTGATATGTAAGCCTTTTATTGGTTAATACACCAAACGTTTCTACTGACGATAAATAGATGCACATTTTGCTATGCGTTTCACTGAACACTCGTCTAACTAGAAAGCAAATTTAGGCAGTGTTTCCTAAGACCAAACCCTCGTTCAATAAAACTAGAATTTGTTGGCAATTCCAGCTTCAATTCCCCTCAAATAGAGTTTGATCTCAATTAGATTGATAGGATTATGTTGGTAATTAGTAATCAATATAATAAGTGGCCAGTAGTTTGTTATTAGGATTGGTTTGTTATGTTTGTTAAGTTAGTTTGTAGTAGTATATAATTAGGGTTGATTTGTTATGTTTATTAAGCTAGTTAGTAGTAGTATATAAGGAATAGAAAGAGACTAAAGGCGGTGGATGGATTAGGGTAAATTGGGAAAACTCTTCGGAGAGCTAGCAGACCTCTCGAACGTCTGCCAATCTATCTTGTAATCTCTTTCAATTACTTCATCAATATAATTTTACTTTTCTATTCAATTTCTCAATTCAAGTTCGGTTCTTATTAAATTGGTATCAGAGCAGTACTTTCTTGGACAAAGAAAAAAATGGCTGGATCGTGTGGATGTTGGCAGCGATTAGAAATGCCGATGTTGTCAGGAAAAGATCTGGATTCTTAGATTGTAAAAGTAGAAGAATATCATCTGAATAATCAATTTTCGAAACGTGAAAATGTCTGATTTGTAAAGGAATTCATGGTATGTGAGACACTCGAGTGGTTTCAATGGGAGGACAGAAGGCAGCCATTTTCTTGTTAGAGTGCTTTTAAGTCTCGTTCATTTCACCGATTCGAGTTTTTAATTCTAGTTGCTACAGTTAAAAACTCTCATAAAAAATCGCATTTAATTTTTTTACTACAGTTAAAAACTCACATAAAATCATATCTCAGCTCAAATTGAAAATTTGAATTGGCGAACTCAATGAGGCCTTAAAATCAATTTGCAACTTCGTTTCAGAGCAACACATGAGAGATTGCTCTCTGAGAAGAATGAGAAGGTTTGGCCACGGAACGTAATGATTTCAGATCTTTACGTTTCTAGCGGTGGGCCGACACAACCAGTTCCAGAATCGCAGGAGGACGACAATGGTTCGATCAATTTTTCGCAATCTCGTGCGAAATCGTTCAGATCTGAGACAATCAGCGGCGATTTGGTGGTGAAAATTGAGAACGCTGATACGATCATGGTTAGGGGTCAACAAGCCGGCAAGAATGGGGCTAGATCGGGAAATGTTTGCGTGAAAGCCAGCGTGACTGAGGCTGGATTCAGAGATCCTGGTGGGACTTGGACCAATATGTGCAATTGCAACATGGAGGGGCCCGATTCCGGCCAGATTTGGACCGGGTCAGGTGATTCCTCCGAAATTGAGTGGGTTCCCAACCGGATTTGGACTAGCTAATGTGATTCCAGAGCTCGCGATGAGGGAAGGAAGCTGGTCTGGGTGAAATCGCCCCAAATCTCGAAGACCCACGGCGGAAGGGGCGATTTGACAGTGGGCTATGGTCGGAGGGGGAGCAGCGAGACGTTTGGGGCTTGGCTCACAATTTCCGGCACGGTTGAGGCTGGGCTTGGTGATTTGGCTGCGGTTTGGACTAGGACACATGATTCCGGCGATGTTGAGGCTGTTTCCGGCCGGTATAGTAGTGACCCACTCAACTCTGGTGATATTATGTCTAGGACATGGAAGTTTGGCTCAAAACCTAGGGTCGGTGGGGCTGAGTTTCGAAATTCTAGCCAAATGAGGGTTGGGTCACATGTTTCCGGTGTGGGCAGATCCGATTCTTGCATGATTGGGTCTAGGCTGCGCAATTCCAACATTATTGGGCCTACTTTTGGCTTAATAGGGGATGGGCCTAAAAATTTCAGCGAAAGTAGGACCAATTTCAGTAAGATATGTAATGGGTCCTCAAATTTTAGCCCAAATTAGAATGGGTCTAGGAATTCCAGCACTCCTGGGGCTAGGGATGGAGAACTTGACTTCATTGGAATTGGACTTGGACACTCTGCAAATGGAAGATCTGATATTTCCAAGTTTGTAACTCCAAAAACCAAAATTTCTATGTTTCTTGGACTGAACAATGGCTCCAATGGGTTTTCTGCTCTCGATTGCACTTATGTAGCACCTTTTCTGTCTTGGTTTGTCACCGTTGAAGTTGGCTCTTCAAGGATTGCGATGCTCTTCAACATTCTAAAAGGTGGGCTTGACAACATGGGAAGGAGATGGCGTCATTCCACTGCGGTCACTTGACCACACCTTGAGGACAAGGTGTCTTGGAGAGATGAGTAATGATAGGATTGGATTATGTTAGTAATTAGTAATCAATATAATAAGTGATTATTAGTTTGTTATTAGGGTTGGTTTGTTATGTTTGTTAAGCTAGTTTGTAGTAGTATATAATTAGTGTTGGTTTGTTATGTTTGTTAAGCTAGTTAGTAGTAGTATATAAGGAATAGAAAGATATTAAAGGTGGTGGATGGATTAGACTAAACTGGGAAAACCTTGTGAGAGCTAACAGATCTCTCGAACGTCCGTCAATCTATCTTGTAATCTCTTTCAATTACTTCATCAATATAATTTTGCTTTTCTGTTCAATTCCTCAATTCAAATTCAGTTCTTATCATAGATCAAACTCTTTTTTTTTTTTTTTTCTTTTTAACTGAGGGAGGAAAATTTAAACTCTATAAAGTCAGATGCGTACTCACCGGTAAACAATGTTTGTAACCTTGAACTAGATGAAACTTATAAATAGTTATTTTTTATCCAGAAATCTTCCGAACTCATTTTTGTCATGTTGGTGCCGATGAGGTGGTTTGGCTCACCGAAAAATTTGGGACCCCAGTTTTTATCATATTCTTAGGCACATGCTATATAATAAAGCTAAAAGATGAGTCAAGTGCATTTGATAACTCAAGTTTTGGAAAAGGTTTATGGATTGTGTTAGCTAATATTAGATTAGTAAGAAGCAGCAATTAGCTTGTGAAGGAGCAGAAGTTTGCTCCATTGTTTCTTCTATATGTTCTAACGCAAGGATGTATGATCATCCACCCAAGGTGGTATTGATCAGCTTAAACAAAAGATTAGTAACGTCCTAACAAACCCGCATCAAGCTGATGCAAGCAAACACTATTACATCGATAATCGAAGATCTCTGTCTCTATAACGGTTTTGTAGTATCTTTGGCAGTCTCAGTCTGCCTGTAAGGCTTTGGTATCAACATCAGCCACAGATGTGTTATTCGCCACCATCCCAGTATCAAGTGCCATTAACTCTTACGCCGCCCGTTCTGATTTTCGAACTTGTGGAACTCGGTTTCGATGGTCCTTGCGATCTTAGCATCTTTTGGATCTGGCTCGGGGAATTTCACATGGAATGAGCCCTCTTTGATTGGCGCAATGGACTCCATGGCCTCAGCTTGTCGCTTGACGTAGTTGTAGAGTTCTTGATGGAAGGAGTGATCCAAGGAGAAACAATTGTCACCGACCCCAATGCCAGAATGCCGGGAAGATCCAGATCCTTCCTTTTTACAAAAATGTGGAAGGGATGCATAATCCATTATCTGCATACAAGTTTTCAGGTCAATTCAACCAACCACAAAACTAAATTTGAAGAGAGGAAGAAAAAATCTAATGTTATTCTAAAGGAAAAAAAATAAAATTCTTACCTTCAACAACTCATCTCTCCCACAACCCTGAAGAACCTGAATTTTCCTTCTTGTCCTTTCCTGTAATAGAGGCTTCACAACCTGCAGATAGTTGATCATTAGACTCTCAGCAAGAAAAAAAAAAAGCATTCCACTTCTACCGTTGGTACAAACCTTCCAACATGCAGAAAATATGTATGGGACATTGACAATATAGTATGTATCCGTCTTTTCTGGGTAGTTCAAGTCATCTATTGTAGATATGACTGTCAAAAGCTGCATCAACATTACGAATTTATGGCTGTCAATAATAGAGTTCCGGAGAGAGGAGAAAAGCCATACGAGTTAATCGATCTTCGCAGAGAATAGATTACTAAAGAATTTAGTCGTAGAGCATAGAATTCATTACACTAGTGTCTGCATGTCGGGTAAATGAGAGTGGAAATGACAACTTTCAACGTGGTTTACAAGGAACAAATCGGAAACTCAGAGTGTAACAGGTCCAAAGAGTACCTTTATTTGGTTAAGTGCCGAAAGCTTCAGACCAGTCATATCCAAAACCTTCACACAGGTACCAATATGCCGCCCGTGCTTCTGCGTTGCAGAAGGCTAAAACAAGAACAGATAATGAGGCTAAAAGAGAAGAAAACACCGAGGCCAGTAATAGGTTGCTTGGAAGAAAGGCAATAAAACAATCCGAAATACTTACCAAAATTACACGATCTCTATATTCATTCAATTGAATGTGTGATTGCACATAGTAATTTACCTGAATAACAGATAATACAAAAGCAAACATCATGAGAACAAATTCCAGCCGCACATTCAAAGACGTAAAGGAACATATATTGTACTGATAATGACCGAATTACATGAATGGTTTTCATAATTAAATATCAAAACAGAGGCTGCTTATCATGATACATTTTTGTTTTTTCTTTTCCTCAAGTAAATTAAAGAGTGTAAGGCATAACGTCCTTACAGATGCTTTGTCAAATGTGCTGAGCCCAACACCAACAGCAATGACAGGTACACCCTAAAAGAATTACCACGAAAATGAGGAACACCATAAGTTTGTATGCACAATTTCATTAATTACCGAAATGCACGGCTTTCTAGGAAAAGATGGCTATGGCAAGACAACAATGATACGGATTGAAAGTGTAATAAAATTATGTCAAACAACAGACTACCTCTCTTGAGTAACCAGATAATCCAATGAGCTGAGAATCTCGAACATTTCTATACAAATCGGCAGGAATGATAGGTTTCTGTAAATAGTCAACAAATCTTCAATTGCCACATTTACACATAGAGTTACTTCGCATAATGTTTCTAAAAGTACCAAACACTTTCAAAGCTAGCTCGTATGTTCATCTGATAATTTCACTCACCGACAATATATTGTCGATCTCGTTTTGTATCCTCCATTGTAGACAATCAATCAACTGAAACAGTTTAGCTGTTAGTAAAACATCACAAAAGGCCATACATAAATGAGATCTTTAGGAAATTTTAGTAAGTTTAGTACGTAAATGACACAAAACCTAACCATTTTGTGGGCTTTGCTAACGTTCAAGTCTCTTGCTTTAAGAAACCGCGCCAGTGTTTCAGTTGGATACCCTTGATGCACATTCTGGAGATCAACAAACACTTTCAAGTAAACATATGATTCGTCCAAATTAATATATATATATATATATATATATTAATTAATTAAGAATGCATCTTAAGAACGAGGGAACTTCTGCAGTAGGATCTTTCCTTTTTAACTCTATCCGATCGTTGCTTTAACCATTTTGGATAAGTTTTCTACGGTCTACGGTCTCATTTGTGAGTGTCTACCTTAAAAATTTACAGCACACAATACATAACTACTCTAATTACAAATCATACAATTAAAAATTTAATCCAACGGTTAAAATAATACTTTCTATCGGTAGTTAAAAAAAGACACACCCTAACGTAGAAATTCCTTAAAAACTAATAAAAACCCAAGAACCAAGCTTCATCATAATATGCAACCATTACCGCCTACCATCTGAATCTATCATTCTAGACCAACTGGCCTACCGAGACGAACTCTTTCACAAAGTCAAAAAGTAGCGTCCAACACCCAATTGGCTTTTTAGCTAGGCAGTACAAAACCAGCCAATCTTTTGAAAAAAAAAAAAAAAAAAAAAAAAAAAAAAAAAAAAAAAAAAAACCCTTCCACTTTTTTTTTTTGTCTCTATACCCACCAATTATAATGTCCACTTTTAAAAAAAAAAAAAAAAAAAAAAAAAAAAAGAGCAAATCAATCACAGTCCTTTCACTTTTATAAAAGAAGTCGATTCCCACTAATACAAAAGGCAAAAAAAATAAAAAAATAAAATCTTGGGTTTATTGCAAAACTAATTAAGAAGCAAAGATAAAAAAAATTTAAGGAATCAAAAGCAAGTTCAATGGTTAAGTTCTCTTCAGCTCCATAAAAGACTAATACAAAATGAAAAGTAAGATCTTGGGTTGGTGTAAATCAAAATGAGAAGCAAAGAGAAAAGATTTAAAGAATCAAAACTAAGTTATATGGTTAAGTCATAGGAAAGTTTTTTCCTTTATGAAGTTGTCAGTGATTTAGTGATAAAATTTTCTTTCTCAGAATAATTTTTGTCTCGGAATCCAAAGAGAGAACAGATCAAACAAATCTCAAAAGCAAAACAAGGTCTAACCTGGAATGTGTTCTTCAATGGCTCATCCACTGCAAAATCCAAAGAGAACAAAAAAAAAACAAGGAAACAAAAAAAGAGAAATAAGTTAGGGAATTGCAGATCAAAAGAAGATCTTTGAAGTTCAAATGGGTTTTTTTTTTTTCTTTTTGAAATCAAACCTTCCTCCATTAAAAACTGAAATTGCTTGATCGCCTCCTGATTCACGAGACCCATTTCCTCTTTTGGATTAATTTGATGAATGATGTAAGAGAATCAGCTGAAACTGTGAGAAATCTCAACTGGGTCTGCTTTGAAATCTCTGATTCTCTTCTCTCCACTTATGCAGAGCTCTAAAATGACAAACTTTTAAACTAATGAACTTCACGCCCATACATACTGAGAGAGAGAGAGAGAGAGAGAGAGATTTAGAGGGAGAGAAACATTTGAGACTTTAGAGAGAGAGATTTGGGGGTGCCCCTATAAAAAAAATCTCGGTGTGCTCTAAGGAACTTCTTGTGAATTCCATTATAGCTTCTTTTTTTTTTCCCATGCCTTTTGTTACGTTATCTACTATAAATCTATCTTTTTTCCCTGAAATTTTGTGGTTATATAACTTTCTTAAAAAATAATTTCTAGTTGGTTTTATTTTTTACTAGTGGGTTATACTTTTTGATAATGTAGTGGTTAAAATTTTGATTAAAAAACTGTGGGCCCACGTATCTGTTGGTTGATAATTAACATGCCTACTATCATCTTATTTTTCATTTATTTATTTTTTTTCAAATATAGATTTGCAAAATTCTATGAATAAAGAAATAACTAATACCTATAAATGGCCATAAATAGACTTGAACCTTCTCATAGATCTCAAGGATCTATCTGTTAACTAATGGGAAAGCTATGTGCCAACTAAGCTTTTGGTAAAATTGTTGTTTGTAAGTTATAGTTTTATTTGGGATAAAATGTCACCTTTTTTTTTTGGCTAATCAAACCTTTTTTTCCCCCTTTTTTTTTTTTTTTGAAGGATTTTTACCCACTTTGAAGATTAAGTGAGATTTATTTTTACAGGAAATGGAATTTTGGCTTTGTTTTAGGACAAATGGAAATTTTGTTTTATGACAACAAGAGAAGGTCCTAAATTATGCCCAAGATAAGCTAATAAAACAAGAAAGAAAAAAAATCAATGACCTTCAAACTTCTAAATATTCTCAATATTTCATTATAGGAACTATAGAAGGACAATTTTTCTCATTGCAAACAATTGATTTATTTTTTTAAATGTTCCAATTAAGTCCAATATATGCTGTAAAAAAATTAAATCTTGTATTTAGTGTCTAGAAGTTTTGTTTGGAAGAAAGAATAGACAAACAATGATTATTTTGCATCGACTCTCAATATTCAAAATAAAGTTTACAATTTTTAACTTTTACTAAAAAGATTTCTTACAGATGAAGATTTTGTCCAAAAATCAACAGTGATAAAAGGAAAAAAAAAAAAAAGAAAAAGAAAAAAAAAAGTAATGTGTGGTTCCACCCATCTCCTGCCTTTCACCAGTTTTCCTTATTTTACCATGACCATTGACCACCAATTGCGACCAAATAAAAAAAAAACTTGACTCCGTTTATTTTATCAATTTAAGTTTAAAATTTGAGTTTTGTTATAGTAAAAAATTCTCAGAAATAATTACATTTAACTTTTTTATTATAGTAAAAAACTCACACATAAAATCACATCTCAACTCAAATCAGCAAACTAACAGATCCTTCGTGTATATTTGAAAAATGCCAAAAACCCCAAAAAAAAAGATGAAAAAAAACCTGATGGATGCGTCTGATGGATGTGTCTATCAGTATGGTCAGTTTCTAACCGTTAAATTTAATTAAAATTACATCAAATTAACAAAATATGTATAATGAATAGTTTCTAATTAAGATATGACAACTAAAAAATAAAAAACCATCAATATTTATTTTTTAATCCTATTAAAAAAACTCCAAAAAAAAAGAGATGAAAAAAGCAAAAGAAAAAAGAAAAAGCGTAAATAAATTTGAAAATTTTCAGCGGAAATTAATCAATTTGATACTGTCAAATTCTGTAGGTTGGCAACAACCAAAAATATTAAATTAATCAATTTTCAAACAAAAAGAAAGACTAAAATTAATCTATAGTTGTCATATTTCATGTTGTTAAAAGGCTGCAATATTTGACTATAATATCTAACAAAATGCACTTTTCAATCCTTCTTCTTCTTCTTCTTCTTCTTCTCCTTCTCTTTTTCTTTTTCTTTTTTTTTTTTTTCTTTTTTAAGACATGACTTTTTTATTCGATTTTAGCATTATTAAGTTATGAAAAGGCTCCACATGGTTTTGCCTTTTTTTTTTTTTTTTTTTTTTTTTTTTTCTCCCCATAATCTTTTGATTTGCTTTGAGCATCTATATTTTATTCTCTAAGTCACTCTCATTAGTGTTAAATTAATTCAAATTAAGCTAAAGCAGACAAACTAAGGTGACCTACGATTCCAAAACATGTGTATACTGCACTTGTATTGCTTGTTCTTTTTTTTTTTTTTTAATAATATCAATGTGGCAAGAATGTTCCCATGTGTCTAGTTGGTTTTTCTTTTCTTTCTTTTTTATTATAGACTATTCTTTTTAATTATTGATAAAAATTATTATTTTAATAATTCAAGCTGCGAGGGTTCAATCTGTGAGTGTTCATGTTAAAATAAATACACCTACCAATAGTTAAAATAACAATTATTACGATAGAAATTCTACGTTATTTTGTTGGCGGAGTTTTCGTGTTTTATTTTTTTTATTTTTTGGGGTTTGGGATGTGATTTTCACCACACATTTTCTATGGTTTTGAGACAAATTCCCGTGGGTCCCATACCACTAAAGATCAAAAAGGCCAAAAGAAAAACTTTTTTTTTGTTTTGATAATAAAGTTATGACAGTTTTTCTCTTCTACTTATTTCTTTATCAAATCGAACTACTTGGTGACACCTGAACGGTTGAAATTAGAGGACTATATTCAATTGATGAAAATCTTGTTTGTGTTTTGTTATACTGTTGTTTTTAGTTCATGATAATGAAGTTCAAGCTACAAAAAAGTTGTCGTCAACTTCTTTTACTGGTCGAAAATGGAAGGAAAACTATATTCATCACACAGAAAAAAAAAAAAAAAAAAACAATCAAACAAACAAAGAGTGAGAGGTTTATGACACATTATAAAATTAAGACCAAACTTGCTAGTTAATGTGAATAGTTAAAACAATAAAACCGCTTTACAATTAGTCACTCTCTTCAACATTATCTCTCTCATTACAGTCCTTTCGTCAATAACTCAGTAAAAAGTGAAAGAAAAGATAGTGTGCGACAATGAGAGTTTACGTGAGCATTTCTTTAACTCGCTAAGGAAGAGGATTGGAATACGGCTTCTTGTTTTGCCACGAGGAATGAAGGACAAATATGCCAAAGACACCGAGGACACTTCCTCCCTCTCTTTGTTTTCTTTTGTCTACACTTATGTTCCACTCTGTGACGAGTTGTGTAATCCCATAATGCTTAAGGATGGATGTAGGTTATGGTTTATAAGTAAGGACACCACCTTTCAATACTACAAGGTTTTTTGGGGTAAAGTTTAAGAATAAAACCGTGCGAGCTCAGACTCAAAGTGGACAATTTCATACCACGTGGAGGTATGAGTCGTTACTGTTAGAGAGATTGTAATATGTCTTGATCAAGATCACAAGTTGTTTGAGTATTAAAACATGAAAACTCGTGTTAAAGGGACTTTAAAACGCTGCATTGGAGAAACTACTTTGATTCGGCCAAACTGGCTGCAGCCGAAATATTTTGGCTGCAGCCGAAATGTTTTCATGTCTCGGGTTTGTTTGCGGCTGTAGTGGGAAAACATTCGCTGCAGCGGAGATTATGCAGAAAACAATATTTTCATGAGTTTATGTGATCTAAAATGTTTCGAACCATTACATCTATTGGTGATATATTTTCATACATATGTGAACACCAATTAGCAATAGATATAACTATTATAATAGGTGTATTAATCCATGAAAAGATAACATTTACATTGAAAGGTACTTTTATGTGAATGGTTGTAATGTTTAAAGAGGATGCATTCATTCATGAAATGACACAATTGTCTTTATTAATTCTCCAGAAAATTTACAGACTTAATTCATGTTATGGAACTCAATATTATTGCTAGATATTGTGTTTAAGGGTTTGTTGTATCTTGGGGGTAATTCACCATTAAAACTCATTAGCAAACATTGAGAAGTGATGGCAAATAAAATCTTAAAGGAAAGTATTCCTATACGCCTCAAACCCTCTCTTGTTTCTGCATTCTTTTCACCCTCTACACTCAAATATCTTCTACAATCTTTAAGGTTTTAAGTTGCTGCAATGGAGGTTGAAAAGAACATGACGTCTTTTCTCAATCCAAATGTCCAACTTGATAGATTTGACGGTACCAATTTCACCCGCTGGAAGGAAAGTGGTTCTTTCTTCTCACCGTGCTCAAGATTGCCTATGTGCTTGATCCGAAGTTGGAGCCTCTTTCGAAACTGAAGGAGGATGATTCTGAAGACTTGAAGGCTGCAAGGAAGAAGCATGAAGATGATGAAGTAATGTGATGGGGTCATATTCTCAACACTCTCTCCGATAGGCTTTACAATCTCTACAACTCAATGAAGTCTCCGGTGGAGATTTAGAACGCTCTCGAATATAAGTACAAAACTGAGAAGGAAGGACAAATTTCTCATCTCGAAATATCTTGAATTTGTCATGGTTGATACCAAGTCCGTTCTAAATTAAATACATTAATTGCAAGTCATTGTTACTAAGCTTCGTGAATTGAAAGTTGAAATTTCTGAATCATTCCAAGTGGGGGCAATTATTGCTAAAATTGCCTCAAAGTTGGAATGGTTATAGAAAGAAACTCTTTCATAGGAGAGATAACATAACTTTAGAAGAATTACAAAAACACTTGAGGATTGAAGAAGAGACTAAGTCTCGTGATCCCAATGGTAAGATTATAGATTCCTCTAAGGTTAATGTTGCCGAAGCTAGCAAGTTTTCTAAGAACTTCAAAGTCAATAATGATAAGAAGCTCAAAAAGTCCGGTAATGGCCAAAAGAAATTTTTTGGAAATTATTTTTTTTGTGGAAAGAAAGGCCATCGCCAAAATGACTGCAAATACAAGAAAAAAAAAGAAGAAGTTAACACCAACAAGGCCAATACTGTTGAAGAGAAATCCGAAGACATTTGTGCTATGGTCTCAGAAATGCAAATTGGCATGATTACCGAAACTAACATGGCTGCAACTAAATCCTCCGAATGATGGCTTGATTCTGGTGCCACAATCCACATTTGTAATGACAAGAATTTGTTCTCATCATACAAAGTGGAAAAGAAAGGACAAACGGTTCTCATGGGGAACAATGATGCATCGATGATTG